TATATATATATATATATATATATATATATATATATATATATATATATATATATATATATATATATATATATATATAAAAAAATACAGGGCAAAATCCTTCCTTCGTCATCTTTACTGTGGACAGGCTGCAGCCATGTCCCGAGTTCCTCATTTTACAGACACTTTTGTTGAAATTAGCATTTTCCTATTCTGGAACTTTTATTGAGAAGCGGAAACCCTGATTCAGGACCTTCAGCCGAATGAAAGGCTTTATATTCATCCAAACTATGTTACTTTTTTCCATTATTCAGGGAAAAGAGGAATAAAATCTGTAGTTTTCCAGACTGCATAATAAATATTTTTTTTCCTATTGATATTTAAAGTCTTTCTTCAAACATACCTGGTTGTTTTGCCTGTTTGGCCCCAAAAGGAAGATGAGCATCCGGCGGTAGGCTGAGTGCTTCAGCAACAGCTGGCAGGGACCACAACCCTAAAAACACAGGAACCAAACATGCATTTCATCTCTAAGTTTAGCGTATTTATGCTTTCAGGGTTCAGACTAAGATGGTTATTACCCTCTGAGTAAAGTTACTGAACAGGTTGAAGTACTGGCCGCAGTTTTTCACATTTTCGGGAACATCTTTATCCAGTAATGAGAGCAGGGCGTCGGTCAGGCTGTCCAGTCCCGGGTCTCTAAAGTGCAGAGCGCTCTCCAGAGTTTTCTCCAGGATGGATGCAACCACCGTCCTCACCTCCCGCAGGCTGCACTCCAACAGACAAACCCTGCAGCAGAGATTAAAGCAATCATCTACATGGGAAACAAACCTCCTGAAAGAGAACCAGAAATCCTTCTTTTTTTTTCTGTTTTACTACTTTTGGCCTTGAAGACACATTCCAGGCTCTGGCACTTTCTGGGGGGAAGGCGTTCCTGGTGCCTAAACATCCGATGTTCAACAGCCAATCACATGTGTGAATGAAACAATCACCCCATGATTACAAGGCAGAACAATCTAAGCCAAAAGCATTTCTCTACATGCTTCAGGAATCTATCCTCAGGCTCTCAATGTTTACATTACAGAGACAGGCCTGCTCTTTCAGCCAATCACCATCCAGCAGGCTGGAAACATGCACACATGGGTGTTGTTAAAACTCCGCCGCTCCAGGAGTTCTCCACACGCAGAGGCACTGTTTTAAAGCAAGGAAGCAGCAGAAAACCAGCATCAGCAGAGCTGCTACTGACCTGATGATTTCCCGCCCCTCTGGTCCGACCAGGAACTGCACCATCCACTGACACGCCTCGCTGCTCTTAGAAAGCAGCACCTCCACCGCCGCCATCCACTCCTCTGTGTCCACCCTGCAGGAGACATGAGCAGCATGGGAATCCGCTGCTCCTTGAGAAAGCTGCTGAAACACGTCACACACGCAGCCCTAAAGCCTGAATGGAATTAGTTTATTTTATCCTTAAAATGTTTTTATAAAACCTCCCTTTCCCAAAAAGCCTAACATCACCCTTCTGTTCATTGAGTTTCAGTGGTTACCCTTGGCAACCCGCATCAAATTCAACTCCCAGATGCTAACCTACAAAGTGCTTAAAGTCGTAGGGAAGCGGCCGTTCCAACCGTTGCATTTCCAGATTCTCC